CTTTTTACCACTTTATGCTTGCTCACACGCTTTGCTTCAACAAACTGCATATTTCTTTTCATATTTTAGTACCAAACTTCTTGCTGTTTTTTAGTGTAGATCTGGAAAAGAGCTGTGAGCAATAACCATACGACAGAATTAGTGATATCTACATTAAATTCTTTGTCATTTGAGGGCTTGCCTATCATACAGTTCAAAACACTGCCCCATTCCTCCTACAGGCAACTTTTAAAGGACTAAGAAGGAAACCTTCATATTTAACACAGCAGTGGTCCTATATTTCTCACTCAAGTCTGTTAGTTTTTATTTACTGTTGTCATATGAAAACTTATTAATGCAAGAATGTAATGGCTTATTCTGATTTTCTGTTCCCAAAATATATATTCCTCTCTGACAGTTGGCAGGAAGGGAGTCAGGATTTTCAAATTTTACCTGTGCTCAAGAATCAGAAAGTAAAATTAAATGAGTGTATATGGGAACCTGTAGACTCCTTGATTGAATATATAAGGAGCTGATTAAATTTTGGAGGAAAATGCATTGTTAATTTGGGCACAGACATGACAAGAATACCAATACCTCAGACACAGTCAAATTGTGCACATCTGCATGCTCTTTTGGCATATCACATGCTATTGTATTGTTTATAAAAACATTTTTTAGGAGTTCATGATGCACCTCTTGTCATGTATAGAAGACATATTTTGAAGCAAATTTTCTGGTACTGCTGTGGGATATCTTTCTTTATGCTGTGAATATATATTGCTCTGATTGGTTGATAAATAAAGCTGCATTGCCCTATGCCAAGGCATCTAAGAGACAGGCAGAAATCCAAGCATATTGACAGGAAGAAAAAGAGGAGGCAGAGAGAAGCCAACCTGCTGCCCAAGGAACAACATGTCTGCAGCCCAGTAAGCCACAGAACATGTGGCAAAACATAGACAAATAGAAATCATTTAATTTAATATATAAGAGCTAGGTAGTGAGAAGACTGCCATATGCTACGCAATTGGTAAATAATACTAAGCCTCTGACTGATTATTTTGTAAGCAGATGTGGGACATGAGTTGGAGAGATTTGTTTTTTGGCAGTATGAGCAGTACCAGAGAAATCTTCTGACTACATTTGGTGCTCATTATTGGGCATTGATCCACATAGACCTAAGAAAGCTTAAAGATTCTAAATGCACAGAAACAGAGCCACACTAGACTTCCTAGTCTTACAGTCTTATGCCAGAAGCAGCACATACTCAATTTCCAACAATTGCCTGCAAGGTGGAGCTGGCCACCAGCCATCATGTGATAAGCTGCATATCTGTAGATTTCCACCACAGTACACAGTGGCATCTCTGTCTCCAGGCTGCACTTTGTGGTTGTGGTAGAAACAGCTTTTGCTAATACAGACAAAAAGAGAAAGAAAGAAAATTTTTCTGGGCTACAGGCTGATGGATGGATGCATAAACCCACTGCCTCCCTGAGTCATCAGAGAGCATGGCTCCCTGAGCTGGTAGTGAACTACCTCAACCTTATTGGGAAACTGAGGTGGGAGGAGTCAACAGCCAAGGCTGTAGTTTAAAGCAATAGATTCACAGTAAGCCAGATGGAATGAGACTTTAAATAGTTTACAGTTGTGTAAAAATGTATGTAGGCTTGGAAGAGATAAGAAAATGAATATAGACATTTATATAAAGAAATATTTTTAAAAAATAAAGTCTTCAGCTATTAGTTCATAGTTCATGTGTTTCCAATAGTTTGGCTATTTGTCCCTGTGCTTCTTCCATTCATGGCCTCAATATCTCTTGCTCATATAATCTCTCCTCAATCAGTCTCGGTGAAGGGAGGAGGGAACTGAGCCTGCCTCAACTGAATCTACCTGGCTGAGCTGAATCCCCATGGAAGTCCTTGTCTTGGAGGAGTTGGGAAAGGGGGGGTGGATTAGAGGGGGAGGGAGGACAGGGGAATCCATGGCTTTTATATAACATTAAATTAATCATAAAATTAAAAAAATAAAGTCTTTAAAGAGACAGTAAAAATAATATAAAAATAAGCCATGCAAAGGGGGAAATCACACAAAGAGTCTAGATTATATTGTCTTTGGGATTTTTAAGTGCAGAAAGGCATTTGATTGTAAAGGCTGCTGAGTTAAATCTCTCTCTCTCTCATCTATATATTATGAAACATCAGGATCGGCTGAGGAGTTGGCAAGTAATTTGAGTTACAATATGTTTTTAGGAAATACAATATAAGTTCTGAAATTGACAAGTGATGGCAATTGTAAGGATTCATTGTCACATATGGAAGAAATGTCAATGTCCACACTTATATAGTCAACTGAAAATTCAGCAAAAGCTACTACATTGAGTTTTCACTTAACCTTTCAGATTGTAAACATAGTGATATCACCAGGCGGCGATTTTATAGAAAAGCAATAAGTGAGAAAAACAAGTTAGTTTGTATTTAGTTGCTTTAATTAAATTTCTATCAATGGCTTATAACAGTTATACTCTGAATTTTTTTATGTTTATACTATGGTTGGGCATCCTTGGCTAGTGTGGAACTTGCTATATAGGTCAGGCTAGTGTTGCATCAAATTAACTCAATCTTCCTCCTTCTGTCTCAGGTAGTGAGATTACAGGCATCCCATTTTTTTAAGTCTGATTTGGGCCAGAATGTTGATATTCAGGAAGAAACCAAGGGAGGGGACATGCAATGGTTAGACATAAAAGATGGAGAATTTCTTTTGACAAGAAGCCTGAAAATACATTCTCAATTCAGACCCTCTCTTTTCAAATTAATCCACATTTTTCTCTTGATTGGTCTTGTTCACAGAGTTGTTTTTCTAATGTCCAAGTAGAGAGCCTGAGGTTTCTTTGAAGCAATCACAGATTCTTTGGCTGAACATTCAATGGTGTGACTTTATACATGCTCATGTTGTTTACCTTAACAAACTGCATGTTTATTTTGGTATTTTACTATCGAACTTCTTGTTCTTTCCAGGGTAGATATAAAATGAGTGTCATAACGATGACATTGATTTAGTGCTAAACAATGTTGAAATTTCCTCTGCCTAACACATTAATTCATTACTTGAAATTCAGCCTCATTGGAGTTGTCAGAGCACACATTGAATACACCAGATTCTCTGTACTATTATAACTTCCATGGCTACATCATATTCTAAATGTTGGTGTTATTCTTCACTTATATCCTATAAGGCAAGCTTCCACTGTTCATAACTCCCTGAACACTCCAGTTTTTCAAACTCCTTCTACCATGGACTATTAAGATCTTCTTAGAGTGTTTGAAGGCTTTTCTATCCCACTCTTGAAAACCCTTTCCCATTTCTCCACAGAAAACTTTTAAAGGACTAAGAACTTGATGACCATATTTAGGAAAGCAATGTCTCTACTTCTCAGAACTCATTTTCAACCATGTTTTTTATAGCTGTGATAAATTGTATAATAATAATGTACCTAAGTAATGTCTTATACTGAATTTGGAGTTTTGGAACTATATTTCAGCCTGACAGAAAATTTGTGGGCTCATTCCCCAGCAAAATTTCCATTCCTGGGAACACTTTTCTTTAGTCATTTTGCTAACAGTTTTCTAAAGCAATCTTTCCTGTGAACATAAAATCCTGGGATTGAATGCCCTCTGAACCTAGAGCTGCTGCTTTGTACTGAACATGATTTCACATAAATCTTTGAGCTTCCTCTCTATGCCTCTGACCTCTAGGGCTAGTGTAAAAGGCATATTTTTTTTCATATTTATTTCTTCTTAGTGGCCTATGGGGAATTCTCCCTAGCTTTCCTGTTGTTTCTCTATCAATTTTGAAGCCTGCATACATGGCTTAGTGGTTAAGAGCACTGATTGTTCTAGATGATCCAAGTTCAATTCCAGACACTCACATGGTTATTTCCAACTATCTGATATTTTAGCTGGAGGGGATCCAAGGACATTGATCCATGAGGGAAATCAGTCTTTAAAAACATACATATGCAAGTAACATCATATAGACTGGAAGATCACATATTATATTAATACACATACACACATAACAACAATGAAAAAATCGCCATTAATATGAAAGAGAGTAAGGATATATGAGGGTTTAAAGGGAAGAACATAAAAGGGAAAAATCATATGATTATATTATAATCTCAAATAAACATTATTAAAACATTTTCTGTCCTAGTTCTTATGCTTCTAATACATATATTTACATCATCTTTCATAATTTATCCTGTATTTCTCCTATTCCCATTTCCTACTTGTTTATCTATGTAAGTATATCCTTCACTCTATAAAGCTATAAACTGTTTTTTTCAAATCAGTAGCACAATCTCTGAGCTTTACATAATGCAAATTAACACCAGAAATGATGGCAAATCATTCACTACAGCTGTTACTGTAGGTGGCTTCCCTTATAGCAGTGGAGAACATAGTATCAAAACCAGTCACCTAGAAACAGATATAAAATAAAACAAAAAAAGCAAAGGTAAAAATAAAATCTGGGGAATATATATATATATATATATATATATATATATATATATATATATATTATATATATATTATATATTATATATATATATAATCAACAGATGGACAAACTACAATAAAAAACAAACACAAACAAACAGGTCCAGTCCCCCCCTCCCAGACCGAGCCAAGCGTCCCTGCATAGGTCCCAGGATTCAAACAGCCAACTCATGCAACTAGCCCAGGACCCGGCAACAACACACAGCTGCCTCCCAAACAGATCAAGCCAAATGACTGTCTCA